CCCGAGAGTTGTACCTTAGCCTGCAGACTGCCTGTCCACTTCCTGATAACCACTTGTGATCCCGCATCTTCCTCCTCATCCCTCCTCATATAGCCATACGGTAAACTCTACATTATTTGTGTTTGCCAGCGTGTCACCCACTAAGGAATGTGATCTACAGTTGTAATTTGCTTTTAATTTGCTCTTTTTTCTTATGATATGTATTCTTATTTTAGCCACATGAACAGAGCAGAGTAATCTCACCTTTCTGAAATCCTCAACTTAGTCATTATGTGCAGTTCTTTTCTTTCATATCAGGCAATACAATCATGGGGTTTGACGGAGCAGAATGTGCACATCTTTCTGGACCATGAGAAAGGTTGCTATTCTGAGTACAAATATAAAGTATACAGTAATTTCTCAAGATCACATATCTTAAATGAGTTTATCTCCTCAACCATATTTCCTGAAGCAACTATCAGAATCACCTTTATGCTTGTGAGCTAGTTTGTCTCATAGATGCTGGCAAACATAGAGATAGACAGACAGAGAGAGAAATCAGAGGACAGAGGGAGAGAGGGAATCTGTTCATTAACATATACATCTCACTTCCTGTCAGGAGAATGGAGAATTAGGGAATTATATGAATATCTTAGATTCTATAAGTAACAATTCAAGTAGCAAAATTCATCTAGCTTATTCCAAAATTACTGTCTTTGTTCACGGCAGTGCTGTATTTTCTTGATAAAAAAGAATGAAAAAGTGAACATGTGAGAAAATAGCAGTGACAATGAACTAATGATCTTCTTAGTAGATTCCTACTAAAGCTTCTAGAGTCAGGAGAAGGACTGTATTATCACACTGTTTTTGCAAGCTACCCTTTCAGTGACAAAGTAACATACAGTGAAAAGGATGAATTTACCTTCCACTCTATCACATCATCTCCTGTCTGGGGTTTTTGCCATTCTCTTGAGGAAATCATTGGTAAAGTTAAAGGAACAGAAGCACTGTCCTCTCTGCCAGTTAAAATGTTTTTTGTGTTTGAATGTTGGACTCATGTCAGTGCCTGTATTTTAGAAGATAGAACCTAGGGCATCACACTTGCTAGGCAATCATCCTACCACTGATCTACATCCCTCTGTCGAACGCATCTAAGTTTTCTAATGTGGTGTCAGGGTAGAACCTTGGGCTTCGCACATGGTAGGCAAATGTTCTGTCACTGAGCTGCACTCCCAGCATCTCCAAGTCAAAGTTTCTGAAAAAGCAACTGAGTCATCAGCTATGACCTAAACAAATGGAGATACACTGTAGACACCCCATCATTTCTAATTCACTTGTGTTTTTAAATTAGAAATGTTTGTTAAGTAGAGAAGCTTACCATGGTCTTAGAAAAGATGGAGGTGCAATCTTGAATCATGACTCAGAAATCAGAAAATCATTCTTGGAAAATGTGGAAGTGATGCTGGAGAAATTTTCTCTTATATCCTTCTGCGCAAGGGTTCCATCTTCTTTGACTCATGTAGAGACGGAAAAAGAATTATGGACAGGGAATTGGGATGCAGGTTTAGGTCTTGCATGTACCCTGGGTTATTCCATGTTCTTTGGAATTATTTAGTTCCTGTGGAGCATGGTCTCCACATTTGAGGCAGAGAAATAGCAAAGTTCACTCTACCGAAACTCCTCAAAGCTTTGTCTGTGAGAAGCAATTGAGATCTGTCTACAAAGATTTTAGTAAAGTCTTATATATATATAGCATGAAAGAAGAATCCTTGAAAATACTCAGTCTGGTGAGATGTGTGCTGAAAATATTACCATTCTCTTGGATAAATTGTGACCAAGGGAGGTGTGATTTGAGACTTAGCACATGACTGTGTCATGTGGGACCATGATATGATGTTAGACTTGAGCAAATGGAAATGAGGAGGCAGCTGTGCAAACATGGCCCTCTCTGGGGATGCGGACTCCCTCTGAGGAACCCCATTTCTCCTCATCACTTTTACCTGGTGGAGAAACAATTAAATTGCATACGGCAATTCACTTTTAATGTCTAGTAACGATAGATGCATTTGTATTTATTTTTCCCCTAACTTTGTGACGATGTCATTAAGTGTATAAACAGTGTGCTTAACTAATTTTCATTCAATGTTTTATTGATATTTATAACATTCACTTGATATTTATTTTTTTCTATCATGTTCATATTCATTTCACTTGTTTCCTTTCTACTATATTACTTGTTATTACTAATCCTTGGTTCATGCCATTTTAAGAAATTAAAAATAAAATTTGTATTTCCTTTCTTGTGTTTACTATCAGCTGAGAGATATGACACAGGAGTCAGAGAGGTGGGATCCAATCAACAATAAATACCCTAAGTCAATCTGAGCATGTGACTCGTGTGCGCAGGCAGATGGCTTCATCTCCACTCTGCATACCCCAGTGTGGTGCTGCGTGTGTACTGTGACTTGCTCTGTCACATACCGGCCCATGCATGAAGGAAAAAAGAAGGACAAGGTCACATGTCTTAGACTTAGGACCAGATTTTGATGTAAGTGACTGCTCGTGTTATGTGTTGGGCATGTAATTTCTCTGATGTCAACACCAGGAAATGAAAAATAGAAATTAAAAAAAATGTGTCCAGTTCCTCCCCTCTTAGGTACTGTAAGTTAAAGGTCTGTTTTACACATTATCCTGATAGAGAACTCTTTAATAGCAAAAGTCCTATGAAATGACAGGATGTAAGATA